CGTACATTAAAAATCAAAGAGATAAAGAAGTCGAATTCACGGTGAATCAAATGCATCAAATCATGTGTCAAATCCACTTGATTCGAATAAACTGTCCAAATAAAACTTAAAAAAGAAAGAAAAACCTCAATCGCAAATTCTACAAAAATTATATCTATAAATACGAAATAGAATAAAAAAAATTTTTTTTGGACCTTACGGGTGAAACTCGAACGACTTCCGCCAGCCTATCAATTGGCTCCCATTGTTTCGCATATATATTTCGATTGTCGCACATATAATATATTTAGTATGTATCACCGAAGACACTTTTTTCCTTTCACAGCTGAATATCGTGTGCTCGCTAAAGAATACCTTTTCTTTACAAGCGAGGATAATTAGCCGTGTATCACATTTGAGGCGTTAAGTATACGCGAAAAGCTTCCGCTTTTTTTCTGTTTTTTTTTTTTCACTCTCGTTTCGTGTCTCCCGTGCCGGTCTTTGACCGAACGGAAAAACATATTGTCGAGTGACGAAAGAAAATCGGAAAATGTACTTGAGAGCGTTACAAAGGAAGAAAACGGGCCGCGAAAACGAACGCAAACGTTTTCGTTCTGCATATGCGGGATATGTATTCATGTATGTGTATATATATGTATATGCATATGCGAGTGTGTGCATGTGTGTGTTTGTGTAAGTGTGTATATATATTTATATATATATGTACGTGTGCAGGCGGGATATATTTTCCTCTGAGAGCCAAGAGATCGACCTGTTTCACATTACATCGTAACGCGCATTACATATAGCGTGTATCTAATTTGTGTATGTATGAAGAACGCAGTATAAAATATTGTATAAATATATAAATACTTGATTGAAAAAATAAATATATTAAATTAAAAAAAGAGACATACACGTAAAGTATATTATTTGTTATTTATCATTAGATATTTATACGCAGAAGTATTAGATATTTGATATGCAGAGATATGCAGGTCAAGTCTATAACAGAAGGATAAACGCGAGGTTGGCTTGGTAAATATGGAGTCCCTTACAATGCATCCGAGTTCATAATTAACCCTTTGGTTGTACGTAAAAAATTGCTTTTTAAAAATTTTCAACAAACAAAATGCACTGGTACGACTTACTGTGTTTAAATTTACTATTTCCATAATTAATATAAAATAATGGTAAACTAAAAACAAGAAATTATAATTATTTGCTTACAATTCTACTTGCTTTAATTAAAGAGAAAATTTTCAATCTTATAGATAAGTGTGTATATACTTACACTTGTATATACGGCGCTTATAACCAAAGGGTTAAAAATATTAACTCTTTAAACAAAATTTGATGTTAAACGGAGTATGAATATATCGCGATTAATGAGTGAATTAATTTGAAAGAAAAAACTCTAACTACATATATAAAATATCACAAAAACATCGAAAGATATTTTATAAAATTAACAAACCAAAATTAAACATAATCTGCTGAGAGGTAATTACCGAGACTGATGAAAAAAAAATTAAAATTTAGTTTTATCTTCTCCGTTAAATGATGCAATAAATCGTCTGTATCTTATTCCACGAACAAAAAGCATATGAGAATCAGAGACACTCACAAATTTAGAAGTCTTGAAAATAATATAGCATTCAACTTTCATAATAAAGAAAAGATAATAATGGAAATAAAAGTAAAAAAAAAAATTTCAATAATGATTAATTACTTCGGTAATGCCGATCTTCTCTCAGTAAAAAAGAAAAAAAAAACAAAATAAAGGTACTCGCATGCATCCGATTAAATAAAAAAAAATCTCACAGGTCCAACTAAAATTAAAGATCAGTCCATGATGAGAAAACTCGAGAGATCGGCAGATTCCCATTTCGTCCGGTAATTAGGTAGACTCAAAATGTCGCGCGATTTTCGGAACGCATTCTCAGGACTCCAAAATGGGATGTGTTCAGCAATCGTTGCTGCTGCGGAAGGGAAATGATCGGGATACCGTCGTCGTTTCCGATGCCGACGTTGTCGATCGCGAATATGTTTTTGTCGACTTTCGCGACGGACGTCGAAATTTTTTTCTCTATGGAAGACTAATCGACGAAAGAAGTCGCACCGCGTACTTTGTATTAAAGAGAGAGAAACTTTCATTCTCCGCGTTTCTATCTCTCAGTCTGTTTTTTTTAATTTTTTCTCTGATTTCGATGTCGATGATAGATATGAATCGCACGTGCGTAAATAATTTTGAGGATCTATATATATATATATATGTAGCATAAGCTAAATATACAATTCATAATAAATAATATACAAGTAGCGATAATCTTTTTCGATTTCACGACGACGGCAATAAAAGAAAAATAGTTGTTGCTAGATGCTAGATAGGTATAATGAAGATAAAATAATGATAATATATTAATGTAATAACAATTAAAGCGTCATCAGTAAATTGACGTCACTCACGTGATGATGTGTCTAGGATGATCGGCTGCATAAGGTACATTTTAAGATGGGATAAGAGACTCGCGTTTATTTGAATGAAGAGAAAAAGCGGGAACAAAAATGAGGGGCAAGACTGAATTATCAGAGCTTAAAGAAGAATTTCGTGTGCGGCGCTGATTGTGGAGTGGTTGGGCGGCGCTGATAATTACGAAAATAATTGCAAATATAATAATAATAATATAATAGCAATAATAATAATTAGTTTATATAATAATTAATAAAAAATAATTATATTAATAATAATAAACTAAATCTATAACAAAGTTTACTTTCAAGTATAAATTAAACGAAAATATTTCTGGGGTAAGCATATAAGAAGAGTTTAGCGTTTATATAATATATATACAGAATGATATCGATTCTTGAAAACCACGTCAGCTTGCAGGCGCTTGCTTTCCTTTCTGTAATTATTAATTCACGTCGAAGAGACGCGGGCTCGGCGCTTTTTCGTCGAGATTTGCGGGCGACGAATTTAATAAACTCTGCAAATTTAAATTTGCGTTTCGAGCAAAATGCAAACATCAAAAGTTCAAAAACATCTCTTCGAGAAATCGCTTGGCCCGCGTGAGCATTCTGCCTCTCTCAAACTACTCTCTCTCTCTTTTCCTCTCATTCTTTCATTCATTCATTTCTCATGCTCTCTCACTCGCTTTATCCCTCTCTCATTCTCTCTTTCTTTTTTCTCATACATTCGCGTATTTTATAATAATATATTTTTTATAATAGTAAATATTTCTATATGCAATAGTTACCATATTTTTTTATTATTATATTTTAGTATTATAGAGTTATCACATTTTTGTTGGGGAAAAAGGACAATACACATACGAAATTAACCGGCATCACCATAGTTCTGTCGTTCACGCCGAAGTGAGTCTCTCTCTCTCTCCTCGTCGCGATCAAGGGTGCAATAAACAATCGTTAAATATATAACATATACATATGTACGTAAAAAAAATGAAAGTCAGAAGTCTATGAGTCTCGCGACGAGAAAGAAACGCTTTCCTCGATTTGAAAAGAGGAGAAACGCTCGTCGAGAACCGATATAGGCGTTCCGGACGATTCAATCGCACGAAATACATCTTCTCTTTCTCAATGTATGTGTACGTACGTGTATGTGTGTGCATGACGTATTTGTGTATATTCTATAAAACATATTTCTACTTATTTTTTCACATACTCATTTTGCTGTCCAGAAACAGCACGCAGGCGAACATACTCAGCCACACCACTACTTTCTCTTATTATATTTTCCAGCTAATTACTTTTTCTTCCAATAAATTTCTTTCTCTTTCCTACACAATCATTCAATATCATTCTTTCCCGCCATTCGCACCTGTGTAGCCTAATAATTGTGATATGGAAGACAATTGAAGTTTACAAAAAGGCACCCACTTATGATTTTTAACGCACCGACAAACGAAGCTTGATTATATTTCTAAGGATATTTAAAGAGAAAATTTCTATCTATTCGCTCTCGGAAGTCGCTCTTGATATAAATAATAAAAGAAAAATAGAACGAAAAACGAAAAAAAAAATGATCCTAAAACTACTCGTTATAATCTCTACTCTACAGTCCATTTAATGAAAATTGTCAGCAACGAAACCTTTTGTCCCAGTCAGCATGGTGTTTGAAACACATAATCGTATGCGTTTCATGACTACCCTGTAACTGAAACATTGTCGCGTTATGCGAACATAAAAATTGGCGGAAACTGGAAACGCATCGCGAATTCACGACGCCGAATTGTTCGGCTAGTTTATCCGCGACGCGCTATAAAATCCCGGTTTCCGGAATCTGAACGAGAGCGATAAATGTATTTTCAATCTAGAAACATAATTTTATGACAATCATTTTTCTTTTAATGGCATCGTTCGCAGTGCGTTAATCGATTTCACCCGACTCCATCGCGCTCTCTCACACACTCCCTTCCTCTCTCTCGCTCTCGCTCTTTTGCTCGCCGAAGTTGCTCACTCGCGCCTCTCCTTTCACTCTCAAGATAACTTTCCCCACCTTTCCGGAGAAGAAACTCGAAGAAACGTAACTGTACGTGCTATTTGGATATTGCAACGTTTCACCTGCCCCGGTGTGTATGACGTCGTGGTGCTCGCGGCTCGAAAATCCGATGGAGGAAGGCGATAGATCGCGGGATTCGCGGAGACCGGAAGGCGTGATAAAGATGATCACCAAGTGAGATCAATGAACAACTTGCTCGTAAGAAAGTCACATTTTGGAATAAATTTGCGCTCGGTATCGTCTTTCGCCCTCTGGTCCTTTTACACACGTCCCATTTCTCCTCTCTCTATTCCCCTTTTACACCTTCCTCCAAGCACTTTCATCTTCGCACCTAACGAGTTGAGACTTCCGGGCTGATCTCACTTTTTCTGCTAAACTCGCGCCTTAACGATAAAATACGAAAAAGAAGAAAAAAAAGAAAGAGGAATAAGATTAGAAATATATATCAATAATATAATAATTATAATATAATATAGTAGTAATATAATAGTATATTACAATAGTAGTGCTATGATATATATGATGATTATGATGGTAATAATATATTAAAAAAAAAAGAGGAAAAAGACAAGGGTTCTCAAAGATAAAAAAGAAACCTGACGTGTGCCTTAGAAAAAAACGCTTTTCAAGAAAGTTAGATAACGATTAAAGAGAATCGTATCGCGAGAGGCGATACTTCATATATAAAAAAAAACAAAGAAGACGTTTTCCTGACAGACTCCACCGCGGGTTATCCTCGCTTAAACCTCGAGTCACAATATCCCCCTGAAGACCCTCCCTTCTTCGAAAGGCGAGACTCGTCGAAAGTTTCGCCTCCCTCGCGCGCATCGCAATCGTTTTAGATCTTGAGATTATCAAAATCGCCCAGGGTGCTGCTGATTCTATTGAACACCGGCAACCTAGACTCCGTATTAGGTGACAACGGGGAAGGCGTTCTGGGCGCCACCTCGTCGGAGGCGAGAGGACTGCACACACCATTATTACGCGGACTTGGACTTTGCCTCGAGCAGGCGAGCAGACTGAAATCCTGGCCAAAACTGAACGGCGTTGTCGACAGGTTCGTGCAGGACGTCGTCTGCTGGCTACAGTCGTCGCTGAAGAAACTCGCCATGGAATTCGTCGGCGATTGACTGAGGCTGGACGACGGCGAGACCGAGTCGGCGGAGCTGCCGAGTGAGAACGTCGGGCTGAGATTGAGCGGTTTCGGCTTCGTCGCGCCGATCACCGAGCTCACGGCGTTTACCTGGTGATGAGGGTGTATCGCGTGATGGTGATTCGTAGCCAGACTGAGCGATGACGTTCGCAACAACGGCGGCTGATTGTAACCGTTCGCGTTTGCGGTACTACCTAAGCTCAGCGAGTTCGTTCGCATGAGGCTCGACGTGGTGGCAGCCGCCGCGGCCGCGACCGCCACGTGGGACGACGCGGCGAGGTGTTCCAGCAGGCTGACGTTAACGTTATTGTTGACGGTAGTAGCGTTGTTGTTGACGATGGCACCGTTGCCTGCCGCGGCAGCGGCTGCCGCGCTCATCAGCGGGTTCAGGCCGAGCAGGTTCGGTTGCGCCGAACCAAGCTGGGCACTCACCTTCTGATTGTGTATGCGCGCCTCCTCGAAGTTGTGTATAAAGTGGCAGCGCGGCCCGTACGGGCAGAAGCCGATTGTGTGGAAAGTGCGACACAGCTCGGTCTTGTACTTGGGATGACGCGCGAGATTACGCAGTTCTCCGTAGCCGTGCGCGAACTGACACTTGTCGCCGTACTTACACGAGCCGCTCTCCTCGTACGGTCGGCAGAGCTCTGTCTTGTAGCGTGACGTCGGCTCACTCACGCTGCGATCCAATTTCCGGTGTTGCTCGATCAACGTGGACACCAAGGAGGTATAGGTGCGCTTTAGCGGCGCGTGTCCATTGGTGACATTGTTGACAGCGGCGCCACCGTTCCCGGTATTCGACGTCGAGGACGAGGATGATTCCTTTGTTTTGGTCGAGGCTGCGTTCTGCAAACAGATGCGTTTGATTAAATCAATTTTATTTCGAAATTGTAATTATGTCTACAGCGTAAGGAATAATGCGCGTTATCGCGGATGAACGAATGAGGGAAGAAAATGTCGCGCGAGCAATTTGATGGCGCTTGAAATGGCGGCGCAAATGATAACCGAGCAAGCTCTTGGCAATTCCGCAATGTCATCCTTGCGACGAGATAGCGTGTCAAGCGAGTCAGCGGCGGATTGTTGTTCGTTTCAATGGGAACTTGAACAATGCACTCCGTTTGTTAGAAAACGGAAGGCAGACGTTGCGACAGTCACTTGTACAAATCATGCTTCCAGACAAAGTTTGGGAAAATTTGAAAGCGCTAAGATTTCCATTTAATGATATCTAGCTTTAACGTGCTGTTACGACTTTCACTTTATTTTCGAAAAAATTTCTTAAATTCCAATTCATATCGATAATAATATTGCATGATTAAATTGTAAAGATGATACATAAGTATATAAAAATTTAAAAATCATAAATGATAATTAAAAATTATTTATAAAAATAATCTTATACGATATATGTATATACGTACATATGTGTACAATGTATGTATAGAATCGATAAGGATTTTTTCTATTACGCAATTGAAACGAAAAGTCCTTATCAAATAAGAATAACATAGTTCAACGCACGAAAATGGGTTCATAGCACACAAACAACAGATATATTAAAAAATCTCAGCAATAAGATCTCGTTTATGAGTCGATAATCAAGTCCTTATCTCTCATCGTTCGTAGTCGACAGATAACAGAAAATAAAAAATAAATAGAACCTGATAAAATCGTGGTGTATCTCGAGTGATACCACTCAACTGCGATTGCAACAATTTGTTGCACAATCAAGTTTAAAATTAACTCTTTATATCTTTAATCTAGATCTTTCCCCTTGGGCAGTATAAACATTTTGCCCAATTACTTCTAATGAGAAGAATAATAAGTAATAACAAGAATGTGAGTGTAAGTTGATAATCATATAAATTTCAGATTTGAAGAATAATAAAGTCAAAAAGAAGAACGAAAGCAGATGCGCGTTTAAAGTTAATTTATTATTTTGGGTAGAAATCTAATTTTTAAAAGTCATTTTTTACTTGTTCTTATACAGAGAAAAAACTGAAGATAGAAAAAATTTAAATTATATCCTCTAAATTAAATAATTTTATAGGCATTTTGTAAAAATTATGTATATAAATTAAAATTGATAAAAATCTTAATAAAATTTTAAGAGCCAATTATCAAAATAATGTTTAATGCGTTCGAAGAAATATTGACGAAACGTCTCATGCATCCTACTTTCTGGAAACTGTATGTGACTTTTCTCGATGACTGCAATTACTGCAATTATCGTCGAACAATTGCACTTCCAAGAATTATGATCGAGCGGAAAATATGATTGCTCTGATTCATTATGTTAAAATTTATTTCTTCGAGAAAAAGAAATTCTTATAAACTATATATAGCTGGCTTTATATGGATTTTTTTAATAAAACAAAATTTGAATTAAACTATTTAAAAGTGTGATAAAATGCATATTTAGAGGAAAAGATCTAAATTATCAAATAAAAATAAAATTAATTAACAGAAATAAGTAAACATTAAAATGATATAATCATTATATTATACAAATGGAAAATTTCAAAATATAATTATATGATTCTCAACAACATAAGTATTCATATGGTAATGATCTTTTTTATTCTATGCAATGTTGCAAACTGATGGCATGATAAGTCACGTAAAACATGAGACTACAATAATCAACATTCGACGAAAGAGAACTTAGGCGAGACGTGATGTGTACAAAAAAAACTACGGAGCGATAACTAATCGATCAAATAAATTGATGAAGTAAGACGATGTCAAAGAGCTTCATGATTCATAAATTTTTTAAGTTTGTAAAAAAAGAATCTATTAAAATACATATAAAAATAGAATTTTTTGCATGATTTAATCAACGCCAATAATTACAGAACTACAGAACATCTTCCACGCCTTATTTTGTGGTGCAATAATTATTATCGTACAAAATAATAAATGTTTCAGAACGTAAATTTGTCTAGGTGTTGTCATGTAGATAACAGATTTTAATCTTCGTATATCACGTCGTGAAGATTGATAGGCGTGACTGGTTATCGAAATTTGATTACATATAGGAGAGTCCTGAGGATCAACGAATGTGTCGATAATAATATACTTTAATATAATAAAGAAGCAGAATTTTTTTGGTCCGAGATATCACATTAAAATCGAATTGGCAGCAGCAAAGTGCTCGGTTTTATATATGATTTTATTATCAAAATTTTATATACAGATTTCATAAAATGTGTATCCCAGCCTCTTCTATGTAGATAACACGTGAGATGAAGATCTCTTTCGCAATGTTCTTAAAATAAAAAATAGCATTATGCAGTTTAAAAAAGATTTATATAAAAAAAAATATTGTATAAATAATTATATGTATTATATGCAGTATTATTAGCATATTATTGATATTATCAGTCTGCAATTGCAAGTCTCTTCTTTTTATTTCGCCTGCATTATACTGTCTATAATTACAACAAATTTATTAGCGTTCCAATAAACATCGCGAGCAGCTATACAAGATACGTGTATCTGAACGTTGAAGTCGTTATCTCCGAACTTATTTTCACTCCCTCTCGTCGAAGACGAAAAACTCTGTCGCGATTAATCATTGATTGTCATACTGCTTAGATATTAACAAAAAGGAAACCAAGAAAAATCCAGCATTTTTTCGAGCGTGAGATCGCACACAGAAGGATTCACGAGAGCCTGGAAATTTCCATCAGCACGTGCGCGCATACGTGCCAGAGCGATCTTGTTTGTTTCATGTGTCTGTATGCGAACGCCAACACACACACACACACATACATATATATCCGCAAACTCCTTCTCGTAATTATTCCCGCGTAGCCTCCGCATGTTGAAGAGTATGTTTATCGTAAGCGCACGATCGCCGGTAATCGTTCGCACGCACGCACGCAGACATACGCACATATACATACATATATACGAGAGTGTAACATATATTCGCGCGCATTTTATCGCTTACATGTGTGTGTGTATGCGTGTGTGTGATTACATATGCGTAAATCTTGGCGTTGCATACGCTGACAAGAATATATCGCGTATCTAATATACCAATTCGCACTCTCCGAAGGAATATTATTTGTTTTCGACGCTCCTTTTTAAGGCAGATTTTCATATAATATATTAATATTGTAAGTAGAAAAACACTTTAGCTGAAGAAGAATTATATTTTGATTACGCTAAAGAAAAGTTCTTAATCGATAGATTAATCAATTTTTATTTCACAAATCTATTAAAAGATTAAAGGATATTATTTTCCTCTAGAAGAAATAAAAAACGAAAGAATTTATTATTTATGCCTCAAAATCATTATATTTTTAATATGATAATAGTTGTAATAATTTACAAATCTGATTATTAAATCGAAATGTGTTAATATTTTAAATTATAGTCCAAATCTCTTTATTTTAAATATAGCATAATTAGTCATCTTTCACGAATCTCTGAACTCTACTCGAATTTCGCCTATATTCTTTTTCTAAATGCGGCATAATTAGTCATCTTTTATGATGACATTCCACGAATTCCTCGTACAATTCCAAGAGGAAACATAATAAGTATGATGTGCGTGTGCGTGTGTATTTTATTTACTTGTGTAGTGTATTCACCTCTCTCTTTCCTTCGATAGAAATTTAAACTTATTTAATTTATAAAATAGCAAGTAATTAAAATATTTAAAATATAAAAAATATAATATATGTATATAATTTCTAAAACATAAATATAATAAAAGCTTTTTTCTAAAATTTTCTAGAGATTAAATACATATATAAGCAGATTAAAATCTATTTTATTAAGAAATAAAAACAAGTAAAGAAAGTGAAAGAAAAATAAATTGATCTTTTTAAAACTAAATCTTGCTTGTTAATGTTAATATATCTTTAACGTATACTTTAGGCAGTGTATATTTCATAACATCATGTGTGAAAAAGACTGTCTATATTGATAATAGAAGAAATAAACTAGCTAAGTTTTCCTTGTAGACGTTGCAATCTTGCAAAGTTAACGATGTATAGTATAAGCAGTGTTTTTCTTTATACATCGTTGATGATTCATTGTAATAAAATTAGCTTGTTCCAAAAAAATGCAACAAAAACTACGTTTATATTTATTAGAGAATAAGCATATAACGATTCCACGAATTTAATGTCTGTCCATGTCATAAAATACGAGATGTTTCATTCTATTTTGCCGGTGCAACATAAAAAATTAATAAAAATGACATCTATTTTTAAACAGGAAACTTTACAAAAAATTTGCAATCAAATTCCATGAAAGTAAGAGACAAAAATAGGAATATTATGAAATAAAAATATATATTTAGCATATAGTAAATGTGTACATTATTTTTCTTAATTGTTAGAAAATTGTAATAAAATCGTTGATACATACATATATTATTTTGTATTTGAATACAGTTTCATATTAATAATTTTAATTCCTTTTTCATATAAAAACATTGTCGTATTTTACTTTTAAATGTCTTGCAAATATCTTTTTTATTAATTATACAAATGAAAATTAATATTAATTATCATTAATTTGTATAATTTACATTAAAATTTATATAATATATTTTATATACAAAATGTGCATAATCCTAAAATGGAAATTTAAAACTTACACAAAAAATAGGCAATTATACAAAAAAATATATTTTTATTTCACTCTTCTTCTAGATAAAAATCTTTTCTACATCTTTAAAGCTTCTGAAAACTACAATTCGAGATGGAATACGTATTTATATCGAATCGCACGCGCTTAGCCTTAATATACATTCTATTTTTATATATCTATTTTTATGTATATATGTTCTTGAAACGTTGTTAATATGCATTAAACGATCAGCAGCATAT